TCTTTCGATTTTCAGCTTCTCTCTTTCCACCTCTCTCTCCCTCTCTCTCCTGCTGATGCGGCCATTAGAATGAGCTGCCGCTGCCTTTATTGCAGCAAATGGACTTTAAATGAGCTTTATTGTTATGGTGGCCAGCCAACTGAATCCCTCTCTCTCTCTTTCTCCTTTGCCCTCCTCCTCTCCTAAACAGAGGCCCCCAGCATTGAGAGGCTGTTGTCAAAGGACTGGAAGGATAAACTTTTGGCCATGGGCTCAGGGCACATCGGTGAAATCAAAGGTATGGTCAACTAAATGGAATTAAACTTAAGTGATTTGAAAAAAAAAAGATTTACCCTTTGAACTTGATGGGTGCAAAATTTGCACATCTCCGATGTCCAATTAGGGAGAAATATCCATTAATCTACTTTTTTGGGTAGGTTTTAGGCTTTTTTATTGCCTTTATTTGACAGTAAGTCATGGAGAGATAGACAGGAAACGGGAGACAGAGATAGAAAGAAGGCGAGACCTGCAACAAATGCCAGTGGCTGAACTCAAAGTAACGATAGCACACATGCACTATGCATGTGTATATGGTGCAACAATGTAACAATTCTCTCACTGAATTTACTTTTAAGATGAATTTTAACTTCATATCTTGCCACATATTTTTAACATTAATTTAATTCTTAATCAAAAGTAATCCAAGTAGGTGCTGTCTGTAGCCATGGTTACAGTGCAAACAAACCTTTGTGTTGTACATTCACCAAAATGTAAAGACATAAGGAGAAAATGCAGGCTTCAGACATAGCCCACAGTTAATTCACTCATTCTATGGCAAAATTATACTTCATCTTTATATTAAATATAATGGAACCCTGTTGAAAATTTCTGGACCACTGGATCCATTTATATATACATATTAGCTGTGTGTGGAAAACCTCTGAACATGACAAACCTAAATAATTCAAACAGCATACATGTTTTTAATATAAATTGTCCTACAACATGTATAGTACCATTTACATGCCAAACAATGGTATTTCTGAGTAGCCTAACGTATTTGGAAAATAACAACACATGGCAAGCCTAGGTAGGACATCTACAGTCAATTCTACAAGTGTCTACATAAAGGGAGTTGTCTAAGTAAAAAACATTTTTTTAATGAAATAAAGGTCACTGTTGTTTGTTGAACTTAACTCAGATGAACTGAGCTGGCCTGAAATGAACCATGCTGCCTGCTTTGTCTCGTGCTTGACCAAAAAGTCAAAAAGTCACGGATGTCTCTGTTAGACAATCTCAGTGTTAATCACCCATTTTATCCAGACCAACACTTCTTAACATCTGAACAAGAATGGATCTAGAGTGCGGTACTGTGAATATGGTGGAGCAAGAATCAGCCACAGAGAAACAAGAAAGGAGAAAAAGATGTGAGAAGCAGAGAGAGAAGTGGCAGAGACTGGCTAATAGTCTCTGTAATTCCAGGGCAAAGCCCTTCGTTCTCCTCCAGTAATTGAGCTTCATTAGGAAGCAAAGCAATATGTAATCAAAGAGCCTCACAGAATGGTGTGGCCATCAAGAGAGGACTCCATTGATCAAACCCCCTTTTCTCAGCTCCCTGCTGTGCTGACATTACTGTGTAGGGGAGTCCTGCCTGGTGCACCACACACTTAACAGCTGCGGAGCATGTATGAATGCATGTGACAGGGCTTACATAACAGTATGAGAAAAAACCTGGAGAAACATACAAGAAGTCAAGTCTTCATATACCAGCTGGAGTTGATTGTGTGGAAATGTGTGTGTGGGTGTGTGTGTGTGTGTATGTGGATGCTGTTCTCATTTGTCAGCACATGTGGGTCACATAATAAAACACACACACAAAGTATGGAAGTACTATAATAAATATCCCCACAGTAGAGTGTCATTAACATAAGATACATTACAGAATGGCATTAAACTCTTGATTTTACCTTTAAATTGTTCCTCTCACTTTTTTCTAACACACTTTCATATACCCTGGATGGATATATAGTATATTTTCAGCACAACATTAAAGCCATGCAACGCTTCCACAGAGGGGCATAGCACCAAATCACATCAAAGGTCATCTCAGGACACTTTACAAAGTGAGGTCTAGACCTTGCTATTATTATTGTTATTATTATTATTATTATTATTATAGAAGAAGAATCCAGCAAATCCCCCTGAGCATGCACTTGGTGACGGAGGAAAAACTCCCTTTAACAGAAGAAACCTCTGACAGACCCCGGCTCTTGGTGGGCGGCCTTCTGCCTCGACCAGTTGGGGTGAGTGGATAGAGGAGAGAGAAAAGAAAAGAAAAGCAACAAGACACAACATACAATCAAACACTGGTCAGGTGGGGGCGGCTGTGGCTGAGGAGGCAGAGCGTGTCGTCTTCTAACCGGAGGATTAGCAGTTCGATTCCCGGCATGTCCAGTCAACATGTCGAAGTGTCCTTGGACAAGACACTGAACCCCCAGTTGCTCCCGGTGTGTGTGTGAAGTGTTTGTGAGTGTGAATGGGTGAATGGCCAAATAGTGTGAAAGTGCTTTGAGTGTGCTGTAAAGCACAGAAAAGCGATATACAAGTATAAGACCATTTACCATTTGATGTGGCCAGTGATTGCTCATCATAAACATACAGCTCCAGAGCCAGGGATATCTGCAGAAAGGTACAGGGAGAGAGAGAGGACACAGTACAGGAGACACAAAGTTCATGACATGTTATGGTGGCATATAGATGCAAGGAGAGAGAGGAGAAAAGAGAAATCCCCCCCCCCCCCAGCAGCCTACAGGCCTACAGCAGCATAACTAAGGGAAGATTCAGGTCACCAGAGCCAGCCGTAACTATAAGGCTTATCAAAAAGGAATCTTAAAGGTAGAGAGGGCTTATAAACAGGAAAAAGGTGGCGATCAAATGTTACCTCCTCAGAAATTACATCCACTAAATTTCAGGGTTAATTGCCATGCCTAGTGGCACAACAGCAGAAAGTAATTTTTTTTACTAGTTATAGTTCCAGTCTGCTCCTTTCTGTCTACCTATTGGCACACTGTCTCACTTGTCTTTGCTCCTTCCACATCTTCTTCTTCTTCAACTCATGCATTTCCTTCACCCTCTCCTCACGTCCACCTATCATTTTATCCTTTTTCTATTCTCCTTCTGTCCCTTCCTACTCACGCATCTCATCCTAACTCGTCCCTCCTTACTGGAGGGAGTTAGCAATACAACTGGGGTCATTAATTAGCACTGCAAACACAGTGACAAGTATTACATTGTCACAAATTGGTTAATTACAGCAGGCCTGAGTGTGTGTGTGTGTGAGAAAAAAAGAGTCATGCTGGTTAGCTTTGTAGGTAAGCGTAGGACATAGCAATCTGCCTAAGGAGGAATGTGTGTAAACCAATGGTGCAAAACAGTTATCGATCCACCTGCCTTCCTCGCAGCAGCTGAGGAAACAAGCCAACGTGAGCTGATTTATGAGATGACCACAGAAATTTTGAAAATCTGAATGGGAGACACAGGGCAGCCCATGGGGAGAGAGGAGAGGTTTTTAAATCTCATGTCAGTTAGGAACCATGTTGTTTCCTTGGATTTTTCTTCTTCTGCAGATACTTTGGTTTACTGATAAAAGATCCACAGCTGAGAGGGGGATTGAGAACAGCTTGTAGAAAAAGAATAGATTGGTTGTCTTCTTTTTCACACCTAACCATTCAGGCTGCCGCTTCAAGGAATGTCTTGTTTTGCACAAAGTGCCCAATTTTACTGTCTTTGAATGTGCATGGATATGTGTGTGTATGTGTGTGTGCGAAAAGGGGGGTTAACCCCAACTACAACACCCAACAAGAATGACTCCTTTGATCCATCATTTCACCTTTGTAACCCCCTCCCCATCCTTTTTTGCCCCCTTTTGCCCCCTTCCTCCCCAACCCTGCAACCCCCATTTGAACAGGCTAACATTTTTAACACAAGGCTCTTTCTTGTCTTGGTCAGCTTTGACTAGACACACACACAGGCATGCACACA